CTTTCCCTATGGTAGGCACAAGTTTGCAAAGCTTCTAAATTAATGTATAAAAACTTTAATCTGAAGTAATTTCCCACTTGTAGGAAAAGGTCATGGAGCAGTGATGGGAAGAATTAGGTTACAACTCACACTGGAGGCTGGAAATTTGGAGAGATACTACTCTACCACAGCACTTGTGATTTCTCATCTATTTTGTGACATAACTCCAGGTTATTGGTTTATTGCACATTCACATTTTCTGGTTGCCACAGCAAGGCCAAAACATTTTCTGTCTCCAGGTAACGGGTGACAGCAAGTCCTAAACTATTTTCCGGTTAATTTTAAACATTCTTGGTTAAAAAATAGAAAGTTATTTTCCAAAACAGATGCATTATCCCAAATACACAAAACCCACATTATATGCCAAATTATTTCCAAACCAAAATTCATATGGAATCAAAGTCACACTAAATCATGCAGGAAACATAATGCACAGGTATTCCTAAATAATCTTAGAGCATTTCTTGACTATAAAATTCAAAAATGTATTCAACACATCAAATCCATCCAATCTAAAAATCACTATTTCTATTCTCATAAGAAAACCCCCCTTCCAATATTTCCCAATACTCGAGTGGCCAGGTGAGGACTTTCCAGGAGGCTCCGGGAAAAGGGACGGAAGAAGCGCGATTGTGAGATTGAAGCAAGTTCTGGGTGAGCTGCCATTGCATTTAAAAGGGCAGCATTTCTTTCCAATGCCTCCCCTCCTTTGGAAATAAAGGAGGATGGAACACCTGCTTTTGGGCTCATAGAATCCTTTTGAAACTTGGGGTTTTTTTAGGAGAGGCACCAGCAGCTATGCTGAAAATTTGGTGCCTCTAACTCAAAAAACAGCCCCCTGGATACCTGTCAGACTTGGGCCTGAATTAGGATTTATTACTATTGTATTGCTAATTCCAGTTTCACTTTTGTATTCTTGCTTGCTCAGGACACATCTGGCTTCTGGCTTCATCTACTATCTCATGCCCTCGCTGCCATGAGATTCCAAAGGGGGGGAGGAGTGTGAAAGAGCGATTGTTGTAGTAGTAAGGAAGCACCGCCATAACTGTAACTCTTCTTGAAGCAGCCCCCAAGGAGTAACTGGGTTTTCACATGGGAGTGACCTTGGGCAAAGATAAGACTTTGGAAATAGCTAGTTCGGGAAGCACTGCCATAACTGTAACTCTTCTTGAAGCAGCCCCCAAGGAGTAACTGGGTTTTCACACGGGAGTGACCTTGGGTGAAGATAAGACTTTGGGAATAGATATTCGGTCGTATATCTATCAGAACCGGTAGTAGGCTGGTGTGTGTGACGTATGCGTGGAATGTGGGCATTCATCTTTATTTTTCATCTCCCGCCCTGGACTCGCCAGTCCTAACAATGGCGTTCATCTCTACAGTTGACCAGATCTTTCCAATAAACTTCTTTAAGTAATATTGGCTGAAGAGTGGTTTCACTGGGAGCCAGGCAATACCCACAGATCGGTTCTCCATTACACCCTATGGGAACCAGTTGCCATTGGATAATGGAGCGCCCAGCAGCCATTCCCCCCCCATGCTTTCTGACAGCCCTGAAGCAGGGGGAGGAGCTCCAAACCAGGGGATCCTCCAACCACAACTGGGGATTGGCAACCATACCCAATAATCTGAGGAAGGGAGCTGACTCGCAAAAGCTTGTACCCCCCCAAATCTAAAGTGCTACTGCACTCAAATCTAGCTTTTCTACAGCAGACCAAAATGGCTATCCTCTGGAACCAATGCTTCCAAATTTCTGATATTCCCTTTCCTTAAAATGTAACTAATGATTAACTTTTCCTTTCCCATGACTTAAGATACAGTAGCCTGTATTCAACCACCCATGTGTGGAAGGCACAGGGGTTTTCCTTTTTCTTGTAACCATATCTAGCCTCCGTCCTCCAGAAAAATCACAGAATCTGCACAGAAGAATAGCTGTGTCCGTTGAGGCCTGCAGTGAGGAGACTCAAAGGAATTAAATTTTCCACTCACCTCAAAGGAATAATGCTTCCAGTTTCCAAGGCAGTAATTTCACTCTCCCTTGCCCCTCCTCACTCTAGCCTCCAGACCCACATATCTATTCTACTTTGACAGAATGATCTTTCTGGGGGCCAAAAAGAGCTACAGTGACAGAGAAGAAAGTAGAAAAACTGCATATACTGTGCATGGCTGGCTGCATATAGGCCAGCAGGCAATGTTCCCTCTAAGCTATGGAGTCTTGTGAGCAAAAATTCTATTTTGTGAGCTACTGGCATTAAAGTTGTGAGCGAGCAATTTGGCTACTGCATAAATTAGTTTGCTCTGGAGCCATTCTTCCTGAGCTAAGACAAAAATGTGTGATCTGGAGGCTAAAAAACTGTGAGCTAGCTCACACTAACTCAGCTTAGAGGGAACACTGCCAGCAGGTACTTTTTTCTTTCAAAATAGAGCAATTTAGATTCTAGATGCTATTTACAAGAGAAATACAAGCTCATTCCTTTGCTTTGTGCCTTGAAAAATTCTACCATAAGTCTTATAACATATATTGGTAAAGCAATGCAGTCATGTTTCATAAGATTCTTAACAGTTTAATACAGCTATCCCGCTGGAATTTTTTTAGAACAATGTTATTTCTGTATTTCTCATATGTGAATGCCCTCCTTACAAAAATTAATGTAAATGTAATCCTACGTCAGACAGGCTGTTACAGCTTTCCAATGTTAAACTGGGTTCAATATATAGATTACACTGGCATACTACCAATAATATGATGTAGTGCTTCTTCCCACCAGTATTTTTAAGCTCCCAGAAAGTCCAATACCATCTTGTAAGGATCTTGTAATAAATTTTAATTAGAGTGTCACATGGGGAATTCTAATTCGTTTCCCATACATATTTCCTTCCCTAAATCTTAGCTACAGCTATCACATTTAGGACACTGTTTTAATTAAACCACTACAGTATATCTCATATTTGCCGGATCACTATTTTAATTCGTCTACCTTCTTTCTTAACTGGCTACATTTTGCATACTTCCAGTTTCATCCCCCCCCCCCCCCCCGAACGATATGGTTTCTAGTCATTTCCACTAGTGGTTTCTCTTCTCCACTATTTTTCTTCATTATGGTCTTCTACTAAAAATTTAAGTCTACTAAAAATTTAACTAATCATTCCCAACTTTAATCTATAATTACAGTATTTACTAATTTCAGAAGAAAAATGTTTCAAAGGAGATGTTTCCTGTTTTATTGTCATTTATTTTACCAACACTTATTCTAGATCTAACATTTACTATCATTATTACTAATAGTTGTTCTAGCTCTTAAGACCGCTTTCTTTACCTCAATGATTCTACTAAATTAGATTATCACCATGTGACGGATTCCAAAAAGGGAACACCTAGAGAAGGGCGATGTGCAGACATAGGGCGGTGTGGAGAAATGGAATGTTCGGGAGGTTGATGGACAGAAAACGGACAGAAGGGGGAGATGGGGACGGAGAGTGAGTGAGGTGGTTGTGAGCGGTTGGAGGCTAACAGCCATAGGGAACTGACACATTTTGGGAAGAATCCTGGAGGGCGTTTAATTGTTGGAACATATGGAACGTGTATCTGATTAAGGCTGTGCTGGAGGGAAATGCAAGGTGTCACAGTAAAGCCATTTTATTCTGTTAAACAACGGAGTCTGGTCTACTAATTTCCGCCGGTTTTAAAAGCCTTGGAGTGAACCAGGAGAGTTTTATAATGATGAACGGAGCCAGTGGGTAAGTGGTCCCCGCTACCACCCGAAGCTAGCAGTGTCCCTCGTAAGAGAAAAACAGAGTGGTGTCCTCAAGGTGGTGGCCTGTAAGAGCCCGTAACACATCACCTTTAACTTTATCTCTTCTTATTTGAATCTACTGCTTTTTAAAGTTTTTCATCTCACAATTAAGTGCTTCACTCTTCTTGGTATTCCAAAATATATACATGATCATACATGGTGATGTGATTCTACTGCACATGCATGGGATGTGTAAGGATGCTAAGATACCAGTGAATGCAGACAGCAATATATTGGAAGAGCTTCTTCTGACTCCTACAGATTTACCAAGTGGGTTCCCCATATAATTTAATCCATCTCTAATTAAAGTATGATAGAATTTCAATCAGAGAATCAACAACATACTTCCTTGGAAAATAAAACTGATGAATACATGTGCATGTTCCAGTAGTTATTTTAACAATACTGTTCACCCTGAAGTGATGTTAGACCACAGTCTTCTTATCCCTAATGGTACAACTGAACTCATTGCTAAGCTGGGAACTTTTTCAACATTTTTTTTAAATTTATATCCTGCTTTTTCCCCTAGTTCCCCCCTCCTCTACTTAATTCCCACAACAACAACCCTGTGAAGTAGGTTAGGCTGAGAGACTGTGACAGGCCAGGGTCACCTGGCAGGCTTCCATGGTTGAGTGAGGGGTTTGAAACCAGTCATTTCCAGGTCCTAGTCTTACAGTCTATCCACTACACCACAAACTCTGAGCAAATATTGATGATGAAGAAGTTGGATTTATATCCCACCCTTCACTACCCAAAGGTGTCTCAGAGCGGCTTACAAACTCCTTTCCCTTCCCCTCCCCACAACAGACAACCCTACTGAAAACTAAAATGTATGCATGAAGAATTCCATTGCACAGAAAACAGGGAACAATATGAAATATATTTTATTACCTGGTTAAAAATATGTGGTTTGACTGCTTCTACAATTGCAGATGTTTACAGAGCAACACAGTAATTGTCTGACCTCACACTTCATCGTGCATCTCCAAACTGAGTGATCAGAACCACATATTCAGCTTTGCTTGACTTTCAAATCAAAAGTAGTCACGTAGCCTGTCAAACAGAAAGAATTTTTCTCATGAGTGGCCTGATACAACATGTGAAACTGCAATCGGCAGAGCGTGGTTTACTGCATTACTGCAATTATTGCATTAGTACAATGTGGCCAGTGGAATGCTTCACTTTAATAGCAACAGTCAATACAATTAATTATTCTTAACAACTTTCAATTTTATTCTTTTCAGCTAAATATTTCAGCATTTTCCATCCCAACAGTTTCACTAAACATCAAAATATTGCACAATATATTCTATTAAAAAAGAAAACTTCCAATGTAGAGTAATATCCTTCAGACCATCTTGCTAACCTGTGGGTGGCCTGCTTTCAATGTTCTTCCTCATTAAAAAAAAAAAGATATTTTAACCTGGCAAATACTTTTGCAGAATAATGTAAAAATCAGTCATTTTAATTGAAAAAGATTAATGTGCAACACTAAAATACTGTCATAACAGTATACAATTTCTACACAGTGTTTATAACATCATCCACTCAGAAATTACATCCTAATTCATGCGCATGCACATAAAAGCTTATAGTCCAGAATTAAGCTTTGTTGATCTTAAAGATGCCACTGGACTCAAACTTTGTTCTATTGCTTCAGAGCAACACAGCTACCCACCTGAATATACATATGTACACTAAATCAAAGGAAACTTTTTTACAGCTTCCATGGGAAATTTAATACTCCAACATTCAATAAACAGTAACCATCCCTGTATGAAGAGGATTAGAATAGTTTTTAGGCTCTTTCTGCTTCATCACAGAAATTTTGTTCATGAGCTTGATGTGCCACATCTTGCATAACCAAGTGTCTCCTTTTTGGCAGAGACTGAACCAGAAGTATTTTGGCCACTACAGTTAGTTGTCTTAAAAGCTACTACTGTGCTTTAGGCATCCTTCTGAGCAATATCCTAACCTAAATTGGCCTTTAATACATCACCAGTTTCCTTATGAACTTGGCTCCAAAATTCTTTAATAGCATGACACTCTCACCACATGGGCAAAAAAGACCCCACATGATTTCTACATCTCCAACAACTGAAAGTCCCTTCAAAAATGTTAAACAATTGGCTGGGTGTTAAGTCAGTCCTAAGAGTAGTTTTGCAGCAGTGAATACCGTGAAGCACCAAGCAGAGACATCATTTGGAAATATGTAGTGGGCATCCATTGCAAATCAAAAATCAGCTCAGGATTCCTCAGTGGGTGTCCACTCTGCAACCGTGCACGTTCACAAACATGCTTGTTCACTTCCTGTTGTATGGTGTAAAGACAGCAAGTACTCATGATGCAGTACAACTTGAATCTGTCTTCAGACAGTGCACTGGCACATCTATTTAGGCTCGGATCTAGCCAACCACCAGCATACACAGATTTTTCCTACATCCCCCTGTATTCAGATCACATTTTCAGAAAACTAGAAACACTTCCAAAAATTGTAGTTTGTAAAGTGTGTTATGTGCCATCAAATTGCTTCTGACTTATGTCGACCCATGAGTTAATGACCTCCAAAACATGCTATCATTAACAGCCTTGCTCAGGTCATGCAAACGGAAGGCTGGTCTCTTTTATTGAGTCAATCCATCTCATTTTGGGTCTTTCCGTTTTCCTGTCTTTAACTTTCCTAGCATGATTGTCTTTCCCAGTGAATTTTGTCTTCTCATGATGTGACCAAAGTATGATAGCCTCACTTTAGTCATTCTAAGGAGAAGACAGGCTTGATTTTATCTAGACCCACTTATCTGTCTTTTTGGTGGTTCATGGTATTTGTAAAACTCTCCTCCTCCTCCACCATACTTCAAATGAATCAATTTTCTTCCCGTCAGTTTTCTTCGCTGCCCAACCTTCACATCTATACATAATAATATGGAATACTATAGGATAAATTATCTTGACCTTGGTCTCCAGTGACACCTCCTTACACTTAAGGCACTTTTCTAGTTCCTTCATGGCTGTCCTTCCAAGCCTTAATCTCCCTCTGATTTTTTGATTACAGATTAATAATTGCTCATTATTGCTAGACAAGCTTCTTTAGACTTATCAGGCAGGATTCCTGAGGTGGTTAAGAATAAAAATCAGGTGCCCTAACTTGGATAGCCCAAGCAAGCCTGATCTTGTCAGATCTTGAAAGCTAAGTAGAGTCAACCCTGGCAAGTATTTGGATGAGAGACCTCCAAAGAATACCAGGGCCAGGAGGCAGAGGCAGGCTATTAAGCCATTTCTCTGAACGACCTCCATGCCCCAGTAGGGGTCGCCATGACTTCCAGGCACGGCCACATACACACAGAGAATGCGAGAGAGAGAGAGAGAGAGAGAGAGAGAGAGAGAGAGAATAAACCAAGCAGGCTTACTATGGCCTTTCACATGTCACAAAGTTAAGAGCCAGTGTGATGCAGTGGTTGAAGTGTTAGGCTATAGCAGAGGAGCACCAGGTTGAAATCCCCACTGTGCCACGAAGCTCAAGGTGTGACCAGTTCTTGTCTCCCAGCCTAAACTATTTGACAGGTTGGTGTGAAGAAACAAATAGTAAAAAAGGGATAATTTATACTCTTATGAGCTCCTTAGAGGAAGGAAGGGATTAAAAAGTAAAGTGACAGTGTAATCCCATTCAAAATTACTCCAGTTAATACTGCATAGGACTATACTGTAAGAAAGTTCAAGGTCACCCAAGGACAATTGTGATGCTTAACAGAGAGCCAGCATGGTACAGCTGTGGGAGTGGAACTAAAATCCGGGAGGACTGAGGTTTCAATTTCCACTCTGCTATGGGAGCTTGCTGGGTGACCTTGGGCCCAATCACCAACTCTCAGCTTGACCAATCTCATAGGTTATTTCAAGGACAAAATGGAAAAAGAGAAGAATGTCTTAAGCCACTTTGGGTCTCTACTGAGGATGAAATTGGGTATAAATGAAGTAAATGTTCCAAGCTTCACTACTTATACACCTACCATAAATTAATAAAAATATTCAATGTTATTTAGTTTGTTCTGCTAACAAACCCCTCACCTCTGTTATTTTATCCATCTCTATTCACAGAGACTCTAGTCCACTACCTCCTCCCTCTCCCTCTCCCGAGAGCCAGTTTGGTGTAGTGGTTAACAGCGCGAACTCTAACCTGGGAGAACTGGGCTTGATTCCCCACTCCTCCACATGCAGCTGCTGGTGTGACCTTGGGTCAGTCATAAGTTCTTTCAGAGCTGTTATCTCAAGGATAGGAGAGCTCTCTCAGCCCCACCCACCTCACAGGGTGTCTGTTGTGGGGAGGGGAAGGGAAAGGGATTGTAAGCCGCTCTGAGACTCTGAGTGAAGGGTGGGGTATAAATCCAATCTCTTCTTCTTCTTCTCTTCACATCTTGACCAATAAATCCATATTGACAAGACCCTCATAAGATACCTAGAATACTGGAAAAGGAGGTGTCAGAGCAACAGCTGCTCCATGAAAGTGATTGTTATTCTCAGCTGTACTCCAGTTCACATAACATTGTGCCATCTGCACCTGAACAGTCCAGGGAAGAAGAACTAATCAGACACAGTTCAGTGCCTTTTCCCATCAAAACTACTCCAGTTTATTAAAAACTGTCTGCTTTCCCCCTTTCGAGGCATAAAACTGCTCACCTTAATCTTTACATTTTTTTACATTTTTTACATTTCTACAGTTTTCTGAGTCCTCATTTTAACAGAACTCCGACCACTTGCTTTTCAAAAATGAAATGAATGAAAAAAAACAAAAGGGATTAGATTTTGGAGTCCTAGTGGGATGGGCACAGTCATGAACAATCCAACTTTAATACCACCTACTGAAGGAATAAGGAAATAAAGTTGAATTTTATCTGCTTTTTAATGGAGGACTTATAAACGCCAGCTTCATAATTTCTGCAATAAACATACTGCACCAGTATTTCCCACAGCCATATGAAGTACAGAAGACATTCACATGCATCTGGGGATCCTGGTCTAGTAAGGACATTGTGCAACTATTTAGAGGTGCATATATGCCTTCCAAATTGTAAAGGCTTACTCAAGAAAAGTCCATCTTGGAATTACAATTTTGGGATTATAACATTTTTGGAATTAAAATACCTAAGTGATATAGTAAGGAAACAGATCACCAAAGCCAGAATGATACCAAGGGAAAACCTGCTACAAGATAGGCCCCAACTAAATAATAACAGAAAACCATTGGTCACATACAGTTCTCCGCTCAAACTGGTTGCACACATCATTAGACCTGCAGCCTATGCTGGACATTTCTCCCCTGCTCTAATCAAGATGATTACATTTTGCATTGTACCTTTACATTCTGAATCCGTTCTTTGCCACACCCCTTCCACCTTCTGACTGAGATAGGAGAACTCAGAGATCTCCCTTTCTACTTAGAATCATAGAGTTGGAAGGGGCCATACAGACCATCTAGTCCAACCCCCTGCCTAATGCAGGACCAGCCTAAAGCAGCTCTGACAAATATTCGTTCAGCCTCTTCTTGAAAGCTGTCAGTGAAGGGGAGCTAACCACCTCTCTAGGCAGCTGATTCCACCTTTTGAACTACTCTGACCGTGAAAAAGTTTTTCCTAATATCCGTCCGATACCTTTCTGCATGTAATTTAAACCCATTGGTTCGGGTCCTATCCTCTGCTGCTAACTGGAACAGCTCCTTGCCCTCCTCCAAATGATAGCCTTTCAAATATCTAAAGAGAGCAATCATGTCCCCCCTCAATCTCCTCTTCACCAAACTAAACATTCCCAAGGCCCTTAGCCTTTCCTCGTATGGCTCAGTCTCCAGACCCCTGATCATCCTCGTTGCTCTCTTCTGCAAAAGGAGCTTTGACCCTTGACAGTTTATACCCTGAAATTCTGTTGGTCTCTAAGGTGCTCGAATCTAGCTCCTCCCAGTTTCAGATTCTTATCTGAACTGGTTTTGATCCTGATACTTCAGAAGGATACCAAGGTTGATAGCTGTCTCAAGCAGATCCCGGAGAATACAGAATATAAAGAATAAA